AGCTCTTTTTTTAATATACTGTATGAGTATTGATTTGGCCAGCACCGAGACACGTGTTCTCTCCAGTCTCTTCATGCTGAGAGCTACAATTAAAAGTAATTGCCTCTTTTTCTCCAGCAAGCAATGTGTGGGCTGTTTCCCCTGACAGATACTTTGCTGGAGACCAAACCTAGTCTCTGCACAGACAGGGAAATATTGCAATGGCAATAGACTGGGACTTCCCTGTAGTCCTATATTTGGCATAATTCCTGCAAATGATCATGTTCTTTGGCCTCACATGTGACTACAAACTGTGTCAGCAGTTCCTGGGAAGAGTCTCTATTACAAATCTTAGTGTCTGCCTCCCAGCCTCAATGCCAAGGAGCTGCTATGTTGTGGTTGCCTGTCTTGTCTCTGCATGGTGCAGGAGGGCCATTAAAGCAGGTGGCCCTTCTCCATCATGCTGATTACTCTCAGTTTCTACTGCACCTCTCAATGTAGCACTCTAAAATGTTCAATGAAGGAGTGACCCTGCCATCATAATCCCAAACATAAATGCAGGCTGGGCAGAGAATGGATTGAGAACAGCCCTGAGGTGAAAGACTGGAGGGTGTTGGTTATTGAGAAGCTGGACATGAGCAGACCATGTGCACTTACAGCCCAGAAAGCCAAATGTGTCCTGGGCTGCTTCAAAAGAAGTGTGGCCAGCAGGTCAAGGGAGGTGATTCTCCCTCTCTGCTCTGCTCTCCTGATGGCCCATCTGCAGTACTGTGTCCAGTTCTGGAGCCCCCAATGTGAGAAGGACATGGACCTGTTGGAGGAAGTGTAGAGGGCCACAAAGATGATCAGAGGGGTGGGGCACCTCTCCTATGAAGACAGGCTGAGTTGACATTGTTCAGCCTGGAGAAGGCTCTAGGGAGACCTTAATAGAGGCCTTCCAGTACCTGAAGGGGCCTAAAGGAAAGCTGGGGAGGGACTGTTTACCAGGGTGTGTAGTGGTAGGACAAGGGGTAATGGTTTTAAGCTGAAAGTGGGTAGATTTAGATTGGATATTAGGAAGAAATAATTTACTGTGAGGGTGGACACTGGAACAGGTTGCTCAGGGGAGCTGTGGATGCTTCTTCCCTGGAAGAGTTCAGGGACAGGTTAGATGGGGCTTTAAGCAACCTGGTCTAGTGGAAGGTGTCCCATGGCATGGGATTTGGAGCTAGATGTTCATTAAGGTCCCGTCCAACCCAAACCATTCCATGATACTGTGATTTCTATGCTTCTATTTACACATGTAGAAAGCAAGGCTTAATGATGGGAACTGAGCTGTTGAGGTTGTGTGTACGTGGATATATCCTGGACATGGACTGTGTGTACATGGACATATATCAAGCAACTAAGTCTGAATTTGGGGTTCATACCTGTGTCTTATCTCTCCAGGCAACGGATTATGTTATTGCACAAACAATCTGTGCTGCCTTCCCCTCTTCACAATAAATTGCTGATTTGTCTTCCTTAAATGCAAAGATAAAAGTAGACATAAAATGTAAACAAAATGTTCTAAAGCAGGAAATAAAAAACACAAACATTCAGCTCATTGTAGCTTTGCTGTTTGCAGGTACTTTCACTCTCTTTCTGTGTCAGTTCAAAGCTTGGAGATAGCAATGGGTGGTAGATTTTGTAAACAAATTTTCATCAAATGCTTGTGAGAGCTGGCTGGGCAATGGCTGCACACCTAGCAATGTAACATGCCTGGAAATGAGACATTGTCTGGAGAAATTCTGGGCCAATATTATAATTCAGGATATTTTTCCTGTCCATGCTGTAGGAAGATGAGGGCTGGCAGTGTAGTATAGTGTGCTGGCATTTCTAGTGCACTTGGAGCTCAAGGGCTGGTCACAACTTCTGAGCTGATTTGTGTGGGAGCAAGAGGTAGCTCAAAGCCTTTTGGCATTTCAGAACTGTTTAAGACCTAGTCTGGTTCCCATTCCCCATCCCCATCCAACTCAAATCAAACTAGCTCAGGAACACTGGCACAGGTTGAGAGAACAGGGTCTACAAGGGCTGTCTCACAGTCCCCACATCTACCCACACTTCACAAGCCAGTGTTAGGGTACATGGTATTCCCTGGAGAGCACTGGGCAGACAGGATAACTCCTACAGTAGCTTCTACACAATTTGGCCAATGTCACACTAATTTTTGTGGCCCAAGTGAGCAGAAGAAAACAACCCTGGCAAAAAAGAAGCAAGTCCTGGCAGGCTCAAGTGCCCAGGCAGGTTGGCCATTATCAGGCAGTACTGGTGGACAGGCTCTGACCGCCTGCAGTGGGCAAGCCTGTATGCACAGGAAGGTGCCTCTGCTCTTTCCCATCCCAGACCTGGCCCTGGATCCTTCCTGACCCATCCTCTCCTTCCCAAAAGCATTTTCAATTATTGATGCCAGTTGCTGTGTTAGTTTAGCTTTCACTTAATGTGAAAACCCGTGTTAGAATTGTGTGTTGTAAGCATTGTTTCTGTTGCAGCCAGGTTGAACTAACTCAATAGCATGAATAAATAATAGGACAACTTTTAAAACATCTGTCAAAATGTCAGCCTCCCTTGTGCATGTGGAGGCAGGGCAGAGCTGCCCAGGTTACAAATTCCAAACTCAGCTGCAAGTTCAGCCATAAGTCCACAAACCCCTTGGCTTCCATCGGTACCAAAGCTGTGCTGGCTTACAAATGAGTCAACTACCGCCTACACCTGGAGTCAAGCAACAGAGTTGAGGAGTGTATAGTGGCACTGTGAAGATGATCCTTCTTTACTGTCCATTTAGGAAATGCAAAACTTCAGGGAAGTGTCATGCTGGTTGCAAAGCCTCTTTTACGTACATGGGCCGGGAGGTGAGTGAGGGTAAGCCCAGTATGAGGCTTGAGCACTCTGGTATGTTAGTATCCCTTCCATCTTCCTACTCTGATTTTCTTGGACACCAGAAAAAGTATCTGGATAACTCACAAGTTACACACTAGCTAGAGGAACAAGGGAGAGAGCAGGGGATTTTCAACAGTATCTGACTATAATTGGCACACATGCTTTGATAACTCTAAACTGCTCAGGCCTGTCTGTTTCAGCAGATGAAGTATGTAATTTTCTCTTGCAGAAAAGGCTTCAATCTTCAAAAGTAGGATTTATCTCACCTATTATTAGCCCCCACTAAGTTTAATGTCTTCCATCAATTTATGAATTCCTTTAGTCAATGGAGAGACAGAGGGCTCTCAAGAGTTGCTTTTCTCCAGGTGCTAGTTTAGGCTGGACTTCTAGCTTTTAGGCATTTTATGCTATAGGGGATAAATCCCATCTGTAAGCAATTTTGAGCATCCCACAATAAGATCCAGCCTCTTCTCCTGGGGAATCTGCTTCCACAACCTGCCCTGTAGCCATCTGGGAGGAGTCACAGGGGACCTACCCGAAGG